TTTTTTTTAACTTGTAGGGTGGTCCTGACCACCAGTGGCTTTTTATAAATTATGTGTGGGGGGTTAGTTTGTAGCGCTGATGTCTATGTGGGCTTTTTACTGTGGAGTGGGCTTGGCAGAATCTGGGGTGGGCCTTGGGCACTGGGCCGGGGTTCTATAACATAAAAAGGCACAAGGCTGCAGGTTGAGTTATACAGGGATCTCTCTGTACAGGCTTTGAGCAAACTTACGGACTGTTCCAGCTAAACTGTACTTAGTACAGGGGAATACATATGCAGCCATAGTTTTTATGGGATCTCGATGTACAGGCTATGAGGAAACTTAGAGACTGTTTCTGCTGAATTGGGCTTATTATAGGGGAATACCTATTCTGCCATCGTTTTATGGGATCTATCTCTAAAGGCTATGAGCAAATTTAGGGGACTGTTCCTGCTGGATTGTGCTTAGTAGAGTGGAATACCTATGCTGTCACAACTTTATGCGATCTCCCTGTACAGTCTATGAGCAAACTTAGTGGTCTGTTCCTGCTGAATTGTGATTAAGGGATACGGTCATGGGAAAACATGTTTGTTTCAAAACACATCAGTTAATAGTGTTGTGCCAACAGAATTCTGCGCTGAAATCCGTTTTCAAAGAGCAAACTGATTTTTTTTTATATTTAATTTTGAAATCTGACATGGGGCTAGACATATTGTCAATTTCCCAAGTGCCCCCAGTCATATGACTTGTGCTCTGATAAACTTCAGTCACTCTTTACTGCTGTACTGCAAGCACCAGCAGCCTAACAAAAGAAAAATAGGAAGGTTACCAGATAGCAGCTCCCTAGCCCAAGATAACGGCTCCCTGGTAGATCTAAGAACAACACTCAATAATAAAAGCCAAGTCCCACTGAGACAAATTCAGTTACATTTAGGAGAAATAACAGCCTGCCAGAAAGCAGTTCCATCCTAAAATGCTGGCACAAGTCACATGACTGGGCACCTGGGAAACTGACAATATGTCTAGCCTTATGTCAAATTTAAAAACTAAATCTAAAAAAAATCTGTTTGCTCTTTTGAGGAATGAATTTCAGAGCAGAAGCCTGCTGGAGCAGCACTATTAACTGATGCGTTTGAAAAAAACATGTTTTCCCATGACAGTATCCATTTAATACAGCGGGGGAACACCTATGCAGCCATAGATTCATGGAATCTCTCTGTACAGGCTATGAGCAATCTTAGGGTCTTTTCCTCCTGAATTGTGCTTAGTAAGGAGGAATATCTATGCTGCCATAGGTTTATGCGATCTCTCTGTAGATTCTATGAGCAAACTAGCAAACGTATTGGATTGTTCCTGCTGAATTGGGCCTAGTACAGGGGAATTCCTATGCTGCCATTGCTGAAGCATTGTTGCTGGCGTGGTGTTCTCTTCTTCCGGCGAAAGGGATACGCTGCTATATTTTGGAGCAGTCCGGGCATAGTGTTCCAGCCTGGCGGCTGCATCTGGGCTTTCTCTCTGGGTCTTGTTGCCACCCATAGTGTGAAGTGGTGTCGGGTATGCCATACTTATAGGATTTGAGCTTCTAGCCAGTTGCCACCGGGGTATTCAGGATAGTTGTCACGGAGCTCCAGAACACACATCTGCTCAGCGCCCCGTGCAGACCACACAC